CACCGTCTCTTCAAGCTAAACATGCCCAGCTCTTTTAAAATGATCCAGACCCTTGATCATTTTAGTTGCCCTCCTCTGGACACATTCCAGCTTATCAACATCTCCGCCGGGAAGCAGCAGCCAAGAATGAAAGGACAAAGGCAGTGACATCTCTGGTCCATCCTCTGTTTGGATATCAGCCAGCATACCAATGCCTTAAATCAAGAAATAGTTTTCTAATATCTACAGAGACACTTGCAGGAACACTTCAGCAAGCGAGAGTCCAAAAGTGGCAGGCTAAAACCCAGAACCTCAATCAGTGGCTGATACCAAATGAGAGACTCCCCCTGGGCACACAGAAGACTGGGCGACTTGGAAGGCGCTGAACAGACTGCGCTCTGGCACCACGAGATGCAGAGTCAATCTTAAAAAATGGGGCCACAAAGTGGAATCCACGACATGCGAGTGTGGAGAAGAGCAAACCACTGTCCACCTGCTGCAATGCAACCTGAGCCCTGCCACATGCACGATGGAGGACCTCCTTGCGGCAACACCAGAGGCACTCCAAGTGGCCAGTTACTGGTCAAAGGACATTTAATCAACTACCAAGCTTGCAAACTTTGTGTTTTGTCTGTTCGTTTGTTTATTCTGTTAAAAATATAATACAACTGTCTGGTTGCTCCTGACACGATAAGTAAATAACTACTTTTTTGTTATATTAATTGAGCAAGTGGGGAAATTTCAAGGGCTACTTTCTTCCTCATTTTTACAGCTATTGGGGTTAAGCTTGCTACAATAGTAGATCACCTTTATCACTGTTAGCCCATCAAGTTTCAGAATGTTTCACTCATCCACGGATTTTTCTAAAAATTTTATAAACAACATTAAAAAAAACTACAAGAGTGATCTCCCTGAATTTTCTATTCAATGACACAAGATAACAGGGGATCATTCCCCCCAACTTTCAGAAATATTAATACATTGAATGTCTCTCCCTCATACCAACCAATAGAACTTCCATGGAGGGATTTCCTCTCAGCCCAGCACAGAGACTGACTTACTGGAAGTCTCAGCCAGTCCTCCTCTTTGCACATTCAACCATTCATTGGAATTCTAGCTGACTTCTGCAATTGAGGGACACTCTTCTCTCCTGATTGGTGCTTTCTGATGCTGAGCAGAATTCTGGGAAATGTAGTTTAGGGCAAGGCCTTTGGAATTCTCTGCCATAGGGCTCCTCGCCTTCCCAAACCACATTTCCCAGAATCCTGTGCTTTTTCCGTCTCTTTCCCAAAAAAACTCTGCTTTCTCCCTGCTGCTGCCCTCTCCTCGTGGCAAAAGGCCATTAATTTAAAGAGGAAATGCAGCCTTTTTGGCTTTGCTTTGCTTCCTTGCGCTGAACATGAAATTAACTGGGTGGCTTCTGAGGTTTACAAAATACAAACAAAAAAGTATTGGGTAAGTTTTGATTCTTAAGTTTTTGGAACGTGTTGGATATCGCATTGTAAGTATGAATTTAATAAATTCGATATGACTTACGACAACTAAATTAAAAAATTGCACACCCTTAAAAATTATTATTAAAGCATATTAAACAGCAATAGATTTTTAAAATAATTTTAAAACATATATTTAAAGCAGTGTGTGCCTTCAGATTGCCTGTCAAGTTTTACTGACCTCATCATTTTTTTCCTAAGTGAGGAATAGTTTTGCCAGGGATAATCCTACTTAGTGTCCAGGATCAGATGGGAGCTTTTGGGTATGTAGACTAAAAGGGAAATCATGCCAAATGCCTTGTGGTTTTTAACACAAGGAGGTGTTAAAAACCAGTTCCCAAAGCCTTGTTGGAAAAGACAGATTTTAACTTTCATCGGAAGAGCAACAAAGAAGCAACTATCATTGCTTTCCCCAAGGAGGGAATTTAAAAGTGTGGGAGCAGCCATGGGAAATGTATGGTGACCCCATAGATTTCCAAGGGCTTTCCATGGCATAGATTGTTTTGCCAGTTCCAAGATACAGGCCTTCAAATAATATGGTTTATTGGACTCTAGGGATCAGCAACTGACAGCCCTCTGGTTGAATGAATCCCTTTGAAGGGTGCCATCTGTCATCGGTTCGTCCATGTCTGCAGGTTGCCCTTTGGGGCTACTTTCATGTCTTTGGGGCTGTTTACTCGTTTCATGTATTCACATTGAAATATCTCTACCCGACCCGATGACCCAAATCCTGCATCTTAATCCCAATAAGAGGCGGAGCAGTGAATCAATTAATCTGAAATTCAAGTCTAGACCTTGGGGTCAAGTCATATAAACATCATATTTTTAAATAATTTGAATTTAAAGGAAACACAGGCTACACCCACGTTAGCATCTTTGCAGTCTACTTTGTCCTCTTGTCTCTTCCTTTTTGAAGAAGCAGCATGTAATATAAACTACACAACGGAATCATTTATTTGAATATATATGCATAATACAATAAACCAATAGGAGGCATCAGAGGCTAGCAACTCCTCTGCTCATCATGAAGATGCTCTATTACTTCAGTTAACAAAGGGTGCATCTACACCGTAGAATTAAAGCAGATCAACACCCTTTTATTTCCCACAGCTCAATGCCATGGATTTGTGGAATTTGTTGTTTGCTGACGCACAAGTCCTCTTTGGAAGCGTCAGTGTTCATATTTGGGCATTCTGAGTATTTGTGCCAAGTTTGGTCTAGATCCTTCATTTGTTGAGTCCACAGTGCTCTCTGGATGTAGGTGAACTACAACTCCAGAACTCAAGGTCAATGCCCACCAAACTCTTCCATTATTTGGTTCAATTCCGTCATTGGTGGAGTTCAGAATGCTCTTTGATTGTAGGTTAACTGTAAATCCCAGCAACTACAACTCCCAAATGACAAAATCAATCCCCCCGCCCAACCCCACCAATATTAAAATGTGGGCGTATCACATATTTGTGCCAAATTTGGTCCAGTGAATGAAAATGCATCCTGCATATCAGATATTTACATAACTATTCATAACAGTAGCAAAATGACAGTTATGAAGTAGCAACAAAAATAATTTTATGATTGGGGGTCACCGCCACATGAGGAACTGTATTAAGGGGTTGTGGCATTAGGAAGGTTGAGAACCACAGTTATATGGAGTCCATGAGAGATATTGGAGGCAAAAGGCCTTGCAAGAAAGGAAAAGGGTAACTGTGGTCATATAGGGTGTAATGGTAGCAGCAAAGAGATCCAAGGAAACAATAGTCAGACCTACTTGATTCCCTTGGAAAAGCAATCACCACCACCATCATCCTCCCCGATCACCAAAGCCATTAAGAGAATTCATCCATCCTGCATCAGCTCATGCTCTTTCTCCTAGATTAAGTGCACACAACTGGGATCCGCAAATTGCTTTCTGCAGAGAAAATCCATCGTGCCAGCTGTTCATCCAAAGCTTCTTAAAAACAGAAGATCCCCCTTACACACACAAACGCGAGTGCACAAGTATCGGATCCAACACTTCCATTTGCCTTTGAACAAACACTATGTTATCATCTATCCTTCTGATATGTTCTTGTAGCAATCTATTGTAATGCAAGCTATGCAGGTTGTAAATGTTGTGTAGGAAATCTAGATGGTCCTCAAGCAATCCTGTACACACACCCATACTTTTTTGCCTTTGTTATAGAAAGGCTCATCCCTCTCCTCAAATTCATAAGGACCTGTTCCCAGGCCTTATAGTTCTGGGACTGATTTTATAAAGAAATTGGAAGCTGCTGAGGAGTGGCTTAAAGAGCTGGGTCTGATTTGCCAGCAGAAGGGAAGGTTGAGAGGAGGCATGAGACTTATATATAAATAGATGAAAAGTTGTCCTAAGGAAGAGGGAGAGGCTTGTTTTCCACTGCCATCGAAACTAGGATTTCGATGAGTTCAAATGATAGGAAAGGAGATTCCACCTGAACATTAGGAAGAACTTCCTGACTGTAAGAAGAGCTGTTCAACAGCGGAACTCTCTGGTGGAAGCTCCTTCCTTGGAGGCTTTGAAACAGAGGGTGGATGGCCATCGGTTGGGGTACTTTGGTTGTGTTTTTCCTACATAGCAGAAGAGGGCTGGTCTAGATGGCTCTTAGGGTCTCTTCCTCCTCTATGATTCTATGAACTGGCAATGCTACTTGTAAACTGAAGTGGGGCTGCTGTTGATAAGATGCATCACTTAAAACCCTGTTAATTATAATTCTTTGACTTGCACCAAGCTTGAGAGAAAGGTGAAATAGAAGTCCCAAAAGAGAAATGAAAGGAAAAGAAACCAGAATTACCTCAAAAATAACCAACAAAACCAAAGTAGAGAGATAGTGTCACCCATCAAGTGTCACCTACCTTGGGGATCATCAAGCATGTTCTTGAGATGTTCCTCCTTTGGCTCATAGCTTATGCCTTTAGCCATTGCTCTAAACCGGGCCAAGAGTCATGGACTTTCCCAGATGTACTGAACTGCAGAACCCAGCATTCCTCACCTTAACGCTGCTAGAGGTGTCCTTTAGTAACATCTGGAAGGCCATATGATTTCCACCAATGCCTAAATCTAGCCATTGCTCATAGTAAGAATAGACTATCAGAATCCATAGAATATCAACTCTTTGTTGATTCAGTAGGTCTACACCAATTGGGTATAGCAATTGCACTTTGTTGATTCAGTAGGTCTACATCAATTGGGTATAGCAATTGGGTATAGCAATTGCGGGCGTTTTGGACTTTAGCTCTCACAATTCCTAACAGCCTACCGGCTATTAGGAATTATGGGTGTAGAAGTCCAAAATACCCAGAGGGACAAAGTTTGCCCATGCCTGATTTAGACCATTACATTACTGTTTCAAATTTCTTGGATCCCACAACAGTCTTCTTCTCAAGCTCACACTTTCAACATCCCCAACCAAAGTCCGAGGATGATGGGAGTGGTACAACATAGCTCTATGAAAATGCCTAGGAAAGATTGCTTGATGTTATTTCACCCATCCCCATGCAGACAAGACTTACCTAGCATGCCTTTGTTGGAGGTGGTCAGGCACATATCCTTCTCAGCACTGGGCAGGACGAAGCCCACCACAAAGACCTCCACCCCATCTGCCATCAGAGCCAAGCCGAGGACAATGAAGAGGATCCACTGGAAGCGTCCATGGCTGCACTCCTCAATGATGTTTTCATACTGATGAGCCAGCTGTTCCTCATCCTCCATCTTTTCTGCTATGAGTTCGGCATGGTCTCTAAACTCATCTGGCAGCGCCTGGGATTTCCTCTTCTTCTTGGGCTTGAGGTCATCTGGGTGAGGGATACCCTGATATTCTCCTTCGTAGACCTCATCATCTTCATCGTGGCCTTCAGTGGCATCACTCTGGGCATCTTCTTCTTGACCAGGCTCCTCCCCACTCTGGTAATACCCATTGTTAGGAGCATAGCCTTCATAGTTGCCATCTTGGTATCGGTAGTCATCAGAAACCTGGTTCATCTTGCCTCTATGCCCATCATCCATGTTGAGGCCTAAAGACACCCTGAGGTTGCTTTATTACTGTACTGCAAAGTGTTTCAATGTCGTTTTTTCTTTCCTCCTTGTGTCCAGTTTCACCTGTTACAATGCTATGAGCATAATGTATGAAAAGCCAATCAAAACCTTGGGAATTGGTGAAATGGCTTAGTTTCTAATTAAAGGGTGGCATCCTCAGCTGGAAACATTGTATGAGATTTCCTGATCTCTGTAGGGTCTTGCCGTTTCCACCTTCAGCTGGCAAGGGATGTCGCAGGCCAAAACATGAGGGGTTTCCAACTTTGCAAAGCCAAGCGTCAATGGTGCCGAGCTGGTTGTTTGCTTTCCTGATTCATCCCGCTGCCAAAGGTTATGCTCTGGGAAAAGAAAGAGAAACAACCATGAAATGAAGACTCAAGACAAAGAAAGAAAAGTCAACCCAGTCACTGTTTCTTGGCACATTCACAAGAAGAATATAACATTAAGGTGTATAGAGAAAAAAGTGGACTTCTTTCATCATCTTAGGTTACAACACCGCCTGAGCTCTGTGAGTGCAGCATTTTTCCGAATGAAGCAGAGAGTTTTTGAGGACCGGGACATCTGTAGGGATACCAAGGTGCTTGTTTATAAAGCTATTGTCCTCCCAACCCTGCTATATACCTGTGAAACGTGAACTGTCTACAGACGTCACATGCAACTCTTGGAATGATTCCATCAGCACTGCCTCTGGAAAATCCTGCAAATCTCTTGGGAAGACAAGCAGACAAACGTCAGCATGCTGGAAGAAGCAAAGTCCACCAGCACTGAAGCAATGGTCCTCCGCCATCAACTCCGCTGGACCGGCCACATTGTCCGGATGCTTGACCACCATCTCCCAAAGCAGTTGCTCTACTCTGAACTCAAGAACGGAAAACAGAATATTGGTGGACAGGAAAAGAGATTTAAAGATGGGCTCAAAGCCAACCTTAAAAACTCTGGCATAGACACTGAGAACTGGGAAGCCCTGGCCCTTGAGTGCTCCAGCTGGAGGTCAGCTGTGACCAGCAGTGCTGCAGAATTTGAAGCGGCATGAATGGAAGGTGAAAGAGAGAAACGTGCCAGGAGGAAGGCACATCAAGCCCACCCTGACCGGGAGCGCCTTCCACTTGGAAACCAATGCCCTCATTGCAGGAGAAGATGCAGATCAAGGATAGGGCTCCATAGTTACCTACGGACCCACCTGAATACTGATCCTGGAAGACTATCCTACTCGGCCAACAAGGGATCACCTAAGTAAATATGTAAGTAAGTAAGTTCTTAGGTTATTCAAGAAATACATGGTTATCACAAGCAAGGCTTGAATCCTCTGCTAGTGTAACCATGCTGATATAGATGATAGCAGAAGGAAGGAACAAACAAAGGACAGTCCTGCAAAAATAAGCTGCTTAGAGTCATTGGATTCTCTCTGTGTTCCCTCATTATCCTTCTACAAGTTTGTACAATTGCTGGTGTAGTACGCCAAGAAGAAGAATTCTTTACAGAAGCAAAGAATACTCAGTGGTTTACATGTCCTCAACAAGAAAGGATGTCCTAATATGCCAAACATACCATTGAGTAAATTGTTACCACAATATTATTTGGTACTCCTCAACTTTTTGCCAAGTATTTCTTTGCACCTAGCTTTCGAGAGAACTTGTAGGTCTCTTCAAAGAACTTCTTGCCATTTGCCCCAACTCACCTGCCCACCTAGCAGATCGAAAGCAGAGATGCGAGTAGATAAAATAGGTACCTCTTTTAGCGGGGAGGTAATAAAGGGGCCTTAAAGACATCGATCAATTGGAAAAAAGTTCCTCGGCATGGAAGATGGAACAACAGAAACACACACATGCATGCACACACACCAGGCCAAAGTTGAGCACAGCCTCCAAGATGCTGGAAAAACTGCCTTTACTGTTGTTTGTGTTGTTTATTAAGTGTATAATCGGCATTGAATGTCTGCCACATGTGTGTATTCTGTAAAGCCACTCTGAGTCGCCTTCGGAGTGAGAAGGGTGGGGTATAAATACTGTAAATAAATAAATAAATAAACTCTTGGGTCTTATGATTCTCTCCGTAGTTTCAGCCAGAGGAGACCCAATGAGTCAAGAGTGTTTATGTAAGTGTTGAGTCACCAGTCAACAGCTGACTCAATATATCTACTCTTGTTGACTGCGCCTATTTTGCACAATGAAAATAATATGGTGTGCCAAGCAGAGATTATAATTATTATAAAACTATATATTATATAGTTATTTTTATTAATTTTATTTTTATTATATTATAATTATTAAACTATTATTATAAAAATATTGATATAAAATAATATTAAAATATTAGAAAATAATTATTATTGGGTTGTTGTAGGTTTTTTGGGCTATATGGTCATGTTCTAGAAGCATTCTCTCCTAATGTTTCACCTGCATCTATGGCAAGCATCCTCAAAGGTTGTGAGGATATAATAATAATAGTTATTATTATTATTATTATTATTATTATTATTATTATTATTATTATTATTATTATTTATACATTGCTTTATCTCCCCCAAAGAGGACTTATAGAGCATATGGGTCCTACTTTGGTTGCACCTCTTTTGGGATGAAAGTCATGTTGGGTTGTCCTTGTCCTTGGCATTAAGGGTGCACTACACTGTAGAATGGGGCTCCCTGGTGGCAAAGCGGGTTGAAATGCTGAGCTGCCCAACTTGCTGACCAAAAGGTCAGCAGATTGAATCAATGGAATGAGGTGAACCCCCACTGTTAGTCCCAGCTTCTGCCAACCTAGTAGTTTGAAAACAGGCAAATGTGAATAGATTAATAGGTACCACTTCGGTGGGAAGGTAACAGCACTCCATGCAGTCATGCTGGCCAAATGACTTAGGAGGTGTCTACAGACAATGCCAGCTCTTCGGCTTAGAAATGGAGATGAGCACCCTAGAGTCGGACACGACTAGACTTAATGTCAAGGCAAACCTTTACCTTTTATACTCTAGGATGAATGCAGTTTGGCACCACATTGACTGCCATGGCTTAAAGTTATGGTATCCTGGGATTTGTAGTTTGGCCAGAGTTTACATATCTAGCAGAAAATGCTTGATTTGTAAAACTACCACCCCAGGATCCCAAAGCATTGAGCCATGGTAATCCAAGGCATATCAAACTGTATTCTTTCTACAGAGTAGATGCACCCTAAGTGTTATTCTATGTGTTGAATAGTTAAGGTGTTCTTGCAATATCTATATAAATAAAAATGTAATGTTCGTTTGTGGGATTAACAGAACTCAAAAACCACTGGACGAATTGACACCAAATTTGGACACAAGACACCTGCTAACCCAGGGAGTGACCATCACTCAAAAAATTGATTTTGTCATTTGGGATTTGTAGTTGCTGGGATTTATATTTAACCTACAATCAGAGCATTCTGAACTCCACCAATGATGGAATTGAACCAAACATGGCACACAGGACTCCCATGACCAACAGAAAACACTAGAAGGGTTTGGGGGGCATTGACCTTGAGTTTGGGAGTTGTAGTTCACCTACATCCAGAGACCACTGTGGACTCAAACAACAATGGATCTGGAACAAACTTAGCCCAAATATGCACACACATGGAGTTTGGGGGAAATACACCTTGACATTTGGGAGTTGTAGTTACTGGGATTTATAGTTCACCAACAATCAAAGAGCTTTCTGAACCCTACCAATGACAGAACTGGGGCAAACTTCCCACACAGAACCCTATGACCAACAGAAAATACCTGAGGTCATCCAGTCCAACTTCCTTCACCAGGGCAAGAAAACGCAATTAAAACCCTCCTGACAAAGAGCCATCCAGCCATAGATATAGATAGATATATATGATTCACACAGACACAAATATAGTATCATAGATTTGAAAGGGACCCCTGAAGAAGGACAATTCTATGTTGCATGTTCCAGAGTAAGCAAACCAGACAATCTCTACATCAGTGTTTCTCAACCTGGGGATCGGGACCCCTGAGGGGGTCGCGAGGGGGTGTCAGATGAGTCACCAAAGACCATAAGAAAACACAGTATTTTCTGATGGTCATGGGGATTCCATGTGGGAAGTTTGAGCCAATTCTATCGTTGGTTGAGTTCAGAATGTTCTCTGATTGTAATGAACTATAAATCCCAGCAACTACAACTCCCAAATGTCAAGATCTATTTTCCCCAGACTCCACCAGTCTTAACATTTGGGCATATTGAGTATCCATGCCAAGTTTGGTCCAGATCCACCATTGCATGAGTCCACAGTACTCTCTGGATATAGGTGAACTACAACTGCCAAACTCAAGGTCAATGGCCAATAAACCCTTCTAGTGTTTTCCATTGGTCATGGGAGCCAAGTTTGGTTCAAATCCATCGCTGGTGGAGTTCAGAATGCTCTTTGATTATAAGTGAACTATAAATCCCAGCAACTACAACTCCCAAATTACAAAATCAACCCTCCCCCAACCCCACTAGCATTCACATTTGGGTGTATTTGGGTATTTGTGCCCAGTTTGGTCCAGTGAATGAAAATGCATCCTGCATATCAGATATTTACATTATGATTTATAACAGTAGTAAAATGACTGTTATGAAGTAGCAATGAAAACAATATTATGGTTGGGGGTCACCACAACATGAGGGATTGTATTAAGGGGTCATTATGAAGGTTGAGAACCCCTGCTCTACATCAACACTGACAAAGGAACAACAAGAAATATTGTTTACCGACAAGCATAAAGAAATTACATATATTAGAAACCAACACTTTCTCATTACTTGATTTTCCAAATTACCAGACTGAGCCACAGCAACGTGTGGCAGGGGATAGCTAGTGATAAAGTTTTACAAACCGTAAAGGATCTCACATGGATCCTTCAGTTGCTTAGCATTCTCATGCCAGAGTTTGGAAAGAGTTTTGGACTCTGTCTCTTGTCAATCCCTCATTCTGTGCTGCGCGACTGGCCTCTACCAACGGCAAGCAGCAGCCATGAGTACCCAGTAACTGAAAGGCTTTCCAAAGGAGTCTCGTTTTTATTTATGATTTTTCATGCACAACACACGACAGGCAATTACAGAAATCCTATTTCATTACCCGGGTCCCAATGGCCCAGAAAATCATGAATTTCAATCAGGCTCATGAACAGCTCCGGCAAGTGAATTGCACTGGAAAGAGATTAACAGCTTACATCTTCTTTATTGTACAATGGGGCAAAGGGGAGGGGGAGTTTGCAAACAATTTCTCATGGTTGTAAGATAAGAGGAGACCCATCCCTCCTTTTCTCTTCAGTGGGTGGAACGGGACATTAGTTAATGAGCAAGGCTTCAGCCTTTGATTGCACAAT